GGACGAGTAATAGACTGTAAAAGGGGTAACTGGGTGGGATGTGAGTGAGTGGGGGAAAGACAGACACTCTAACTGTATATGTAACTAATAGACTGTTAAAAGGAGTGAGTTGTTGGTAGTAACTGTTAAAAGGAGTGACTGGTTGGTAGGAGTGAGTGGTTGGTAGTAACTGTTAAAAGGAGTGACTGGTTGGTAGGAGTGAGTTGTTGGTAGTAACTGTTAGAAGGAGTGACTGGTTGGTAGTAACTGGTCTCACTTAACTGTTATAATGCCCCCAACCACGTGTGTTTTAACTGAGGTACCCCGATCTATTGTTATTATTATTATACCCTGCCTAAGCCAACAGCTCTCTACAGTCAGCCATATCCTGCAGTAACCTAGAACAAGGTGAACAGTTACCTAAACGAAGCAGAGTAGCACCTAGAACACTGAACATAAGAACAGTCTGGTGGGGATCTCAGTGAAGAACATTTGGAGATAGAACAGTCTAGCGTCTCACTGAAGAACACCCGAACACACAAGAACAGTTCAGGAGCTCAGGTGAATCTTCTTGACTGAACAGATACAAAATACAGATCATTTTTTTGTTCATCTAATAACACATTGATTGTAATCCCTTTGTTCTGCTCTTTTTTAGAAATTAAAATATTATTAAACAGCGTCTAATGGTGACAGAACCCCTTAACAGGATAAATGGGTGTGTAGGTATGTGTATGGATATGTACCCGGTATGTGTGTTTGTATATGTATGTGTATTTCTATATGTATGTATGTATGTATGTATGTATCAAAACAACATAACACAGCTTCACAACATAAACATAACAGCTAACATAACTACTACATGCCAACCACATGATGAGCACACGTCATAATACTGCCATTGACTAGTATTTATTATTATTATTATTATTATTTATTTATTTTTATCGTACTAATAATAATAATAATAATATTTTATTTTTTGTGATATATTAAGAAAATTATATTCTTTGGTATTCTTCCTGAACCAGCATGAAGAACAGAATGCCGAGGTAGAGTGTAGGTGAATTGTTTGTTGATTTAGCAAGTTTATAATACAATGAAATAATGGGGGTAAAGTGGAAAACTGTTGGACCAATAGCGGCGTCTTGGTTGTGAGAAGCCTGCTGTTGATTGGTCGGATACGTCATACGTCACTTAGGGTTGCCAGTTACTAGGAGTTTTTTGGGGGGTTTTCTGTTTTTTTCGCCCCCCTCAAAAAAAATATTCTTACGTGTTTTTTGTGTGTATGAGGTTTAGTGTTTTTATAAGGTCTGACCCTGAATCCAGATACTTAGAGAGGCGTATGGTGAATATTATTATTAATGAGGTTAGATTGGGTTGAGTTAGGATAGGATAGGATAGGTTGGAATGGGTTGATTTGGGTTGGGATAGGTTGGATGGGGTTAGGGTCAGGTTAGGTTAGGTTGGGTAGGGTTAGGTTAGGTTAGTGGAATACTCATCTCACGGACCTCTGAGTACCTAGACAATGTATGAATGAACACTTTTGTACCAACTTAATAAATACTCAGTGATTCTGTTGGCCGAGAAATATGAATAAACATTATCTTTTGTTTTGATGTTTAAGTATGTTTATGAATATTTTTTCTCACTTTACATTCGGAAAACTCACTTGTGTTTGTAAGTACATAAGTAGTTTTTTCTTCTTCACTTCTATCCTTTACTTATAAACTTTATTTACTATTCATTTCTCTCATAATATTGTCATTTTTCTTTCACTTACCAAACTTAATTTTTATCTCTTCGATATTTTACATAATTTTCAGTCTTTACCAAAACACAACTTTTTTTCATTTTTTTTTTTTCAAATTTTTCTAACATTTAAATTTGATTCGTTTTTTTTCTATCACTTTAAAAATTTCTATTAATTTGTCTCCACCAAAAACACCAAATTTTCATTATTTTTTCAAGTTGTTCTCACAATATTGATAAACTTGCTTAAATTACTTTACCTTTTTTAATAAATTTCATACATTATAAATTTATCTACTAAAAACACAAAATAAAAAAATCCTATTTTTTCTTTACAATATTTAATAAATCCACTTAAATTCGGTTTCACTTTTTATTTATTATCAATTTATCTTATTTTTTTCCTTACAATATTTAATAAATCCACTTAAATTCTTTCACTTTTTATTTATTATCAATTTTCTCACAATGATTCACTAACTTGTCCACCTCACGACACCTGGAAGAGCTCGAGGTTTTCATTTGACTACGTTCAGGTGTACACAAACAATTATCCAACACCATGTCTCTGTTTGGTATAATTCTCCCAAGAGTATTGTTGATTATATACACGTGAGCTACACTACACCTCTGTATCTCACCTTTGGAATTATAGGTCTAGAATTTTCTCTTGTTATTTATACATAGAAAGTTATTTACATTGAAGCGATGGCACTATTTCCGGGATCTTTGTTGTTATTGCACTGAGTGGCCTTTGGTGGCACTGTATATCCTTGTTTGGTGGTGGCGGCAGTGTCCTTTGTTTGGTGGCACTGTAGCCTTGTTTGGTAACACTGTGTCCTTTGTTTGGTGGCACTGTACTCTTTGTTTGGTGGCACTGTACCCTCTTTGGTGGCAATGTACTTTCTTTGGTGGCACTGTACTCTCTTTAGTGGCACTGTGCTCTTGTTTGATGGCACTGTACCCTTGTTTGGTGGCACTACCCTTATGTAGCACTGTACCTTTATTTGGTGGTGGTGGCACTGTACCCTTGTTTAGTTGACACCTACACGACAACACTGACATGCTATAGTGCCATCCACGACACATAACAACACCATAACACACACACACACACTGGCACTTATCTTGGCATCCTGTGACCTAAAAGAAAACTCCACTTACCACGTTCTCTTAAGTGTTATGTTCAGGTGAGGTGCACTTAGAACACCACCAAGTGTTTCTCGTGTGTTCGGAATCCCTGTCACGGCACTTAAAAGCTTCCCAGCACCACTTAAGACACCCCCACCCCCACCCCTGTTTTCCTTGTGTCTTGAAACCAGTTCTCTCGTTGTTACCTGATTAGCGTGTAGAAACCAGCGTCACTTAACCAGAGAAATAAAGGTGACTCAGGTGCCAAAGAAACCTCGCTACCCTTGAGTAAGAAAACTGGAAACCCGTCTGTTTGTTATTGTTGGTTTTTAGTTTTTTTTTTTTGCATAAAGTGAGATGTTTAGGTGGCAGTAGGGGTGACGTCACAACCCAAAATCGGTTTCATTGGTCAAATCATGTGTTTGTTAGAGTCCAATATGAGCTGTTAATGGTGACGTCAGAGTCCACCATCAGGTGAATAGTGGTGACGTCACAGCTCCAAATCATCTGTTAGTGACGTCAAAACCCAGGCACACACCACATAAACACTGCCTTGTGCCAGTAACTGTGACGGTGACTGTTAACTGAGGCAAGTGACTGTACCTTCATCGAGTGACTGTAGACTGTAACTGACTGTGCATATAGCCGTGAGTGACTGTTAACTTAGCGAGTGACTGTACCTTTATCGAGTGACTAGACTATAACTGACTGTGCATATAGCCGTGAGTGACTGTTAACTTAGCGAGTGACTGTACCTTTATCGAGTGACTAGACTATAACTGACTGTGCATATAGCCGTGAGTGACTGTTAACTTAGCGAGTGACTGTAACTGGTAGGTATACAGTACAGTTGCATCAGCTGGTGGTGAGACTCTACTAAAACCAAATATATTCGCCCCAGTCATGGACAATTTACTCCAGGAAAAAAAATAAACAGTTTACTTTTTTTCTGGATTTTTTTTTGGGGGGGTTGGTTAAGTGGGGAAAAAACAGGAACCATCCGTGTTTTTTTTTTTTGTAGGGGAGGATGGGTGGTAAAACACATGATGGGTTTAGGTTTAGTTTTGTGTTTGTTTTCGTGTTTGTTTTTGTTGACGTGTTTTTGTGTTTGTTGATGTGTGTTTTTGTTGTGTTTTTGTTGACGTGTTTGTTGTTTGTTTCAATGTATGTGTAAGATCTCTCTCTCTCTCTACACACACACTGGGTGGGGGGTACTTACACCGAGGTACCAGACCAGAGGGTAATTAAGTTGATGAAAATACCAAGACTCGTAATGTTTATAGTAGTGGTGGTGGTTATGGCAGGCAATAGTGGTAGTAGTAGTGGTGGTGGTTAGTACTAGTGGTTGTAATAGTAGTGGTGGTGGTGGTAGTGGCGTTGATGATGGTGGTTATGGCAGGCAATAGTGGTGATGGTAGTAGTGGTGGTGGTAGTTTCAGCTCGAGGTGTTAAACGCTGCAGCATAGAAAAAAGCCTTCTGGTGTTATGTGACCGAGTGGCTATTGTGTTGGGGGAGGGGGGGGAGGGGACTGTTCTGGGTAATGGAGGAGCAATAATATCCTTGTGGGGAGGGGGGCACTGCGTGACCTGATCTGATTTGACCTCTCTTTAAGGTCACTCAGGGTCATTATATAGTTACCTGACCCTCCCTCCCACCCACCTCCTGATTGATTAGTGCCGCAATGACTTTGGTGTATAGTGGCACCATCTGTGTGTGTTGCACCTGCTGTCACCATCACCGTCACGACCACTGTCACCCTCACTGCCACTGTCACCATCACTCACTTTCATCATCACAGTTGACAAGAGATGGATGTTTATGTGGATGCCGGTAGTGGTATTGAGTGGAATGTGGATAGGATGAATGGATTTTGAAATATGGATAGATAACACAAGGTGGTTAACGATGAGTGTGGATAAAGGTTTACGTGTACCTGTAATAATTATGACTGATTGGTACACACCTGGAGAGAGATGTGTGTGTGTGTGTGTGTGTGTGTGTGTGTGTTTATATCAGATGCACACCGTGACTGTCAGTTAATTAGCCACAGGTACACAGATATATATATATATATATATATATATATATATATATATATATATATATATATATATATATATATATATACGTTGAGTAATATCTGTTCTGACTAGTATATACATGTATATAGATTTTTTCACATACAAACAGTGGACCTGACAGGTGAGCCTCAGAGAGACAGGGGGGGGGACACCCACTAGGTTTTCTCACTGTAAACAATTAAAGCTCTCAAGTTCTCCCGACGAGGAGTTTTAACCCCTTAAGGGCAGCTAATATTTACAGTTCTTCATCCAAAGCGTCCACAAGTGTATGACAACATGGCTCTCGTCTTGGTCAATAGTGTTATGGCATCACAACACGGTGTCCTGTGTTACTCTCACCGTGACAGGACTGGAATAAGCGAGTTATTATGACAGTGGCGCTCAACGAGGGAAGCTTTGTTGCGTCTGGTCAGTAGTAAACAAATGTGTGTAGAGAACGGTGTGGGCCCAGCACACGCCAGGCCCTCTCCGTGTTCTCTCTCCTGCCACAATACCCTGATTTGCGTTGCCTAAGAAAGCCCACGAGTGATGAAAACTGGCCTCGACCCTCATGTGTTGTGTGTGGGCAGGGCCACAGCGCCCGCTATATCGTGGTGGCCGTTACTCTTACTGATGACCTTCCCATTGGCCACGACGGGACTGTTGACAGGATGAACGTCCACCTCTGTTTTGTTGTTGGCAGCGATTTGTGGAGAGATTGGTGGCGATGAGTCGAGGGAGTCGCTGTGCTCCAGTGACTGCCGGACGTCCTCAGAGTCGATACGTTCCAGGGAGACTTTGGAGAAGTCGAAACGCAGCCCATTGTTACGGAACATTGTCTTCTTACGGTATCTTGGAGGCACGGGGTTGGAGACGATGACTGTGTCGTTGTCAGAGTCCATGGGAGAGTCAGAGAAGCTGTCAGAGGACCAGGAGACTCTCTTGGTCTTCCTGGCGGGAGACAGTGGCGGCTGAGATCGAGGATCCAGCAACAGAGGCCGAGCTAGTGAGGGGCTGCCCAGGTCTCCCACAATCTGTTGTGACGCGCTGCGAGGCGGATGGATGACAGAATCTGAAGAACTTTCCTCTAAGTACAAACACGTCATCTCAAAGTCGAGGCTCTTCTGTTTATTCCTGGCAAAAAGAGCTCGACGTAAAGAAGGGCGATGATTGGTCATGACGGTCGACGTGTTGTTGGAGGTCTCGGTCTCCGGGTGTTGGTTCTCTTCCAGACTGTTAGACTGTGACAGTAGGCGGAACACCTTCGAGCTGCGACTGAGGGGGCTCTTGGGTGGGGAGGTGTTCACCTTCTCCTGGCTCCCGCCTTTGGTTTTGTCAGGCTTGACCTGCTCGTTCTTAACCTGGTTGTTTTGCTGGTCAGTCTGGTTGGTGTTGTTGACCAGCAACATTGAGGAGTCAACCATGGGTCGAGAGGGTGTTGTGTCTCTGGGTATCGAGGAGTTGGAGCCCCGTGGCCGGAAACATAGCTCGGAAGACCGTCGGACGAGTTTAGTGCCGCCTTCACTAGGTGTGGAGGTGGTGGGCTGGATGAGTATTTCAGACATGCGGCGCTGAAGCTTCTGCTGGAGGGGCAACGAGAGGGAGGGGGTGACGGAGGGCCGCCGGGAGGCTGGCACCGACGGCGCCCGGGACTGGATCTCATAGTTAACTTCACTGCGGTACAGCCGCTTTCTGAGGAAATTTTTAAAGTTTTTTCGCAACACTTTACTTTTAACGCCGTAAACAAAGCCGTTGATGGCCGGCGCAAACGTGAGTAGAGCGAAGTTAGTGATGGAGACGTTGACCGGGACGTAAGACCTGGCGAGGGCCTCGTACAGCAGACACACGGCCGACGGCAGGTACAGGATGATGAAGGTGCCGACGAAGTGGAACACTGTGGTGGCCGCTGACCGCCCTCTGTACCGCGTCAGGTAAAAGTGGGATCTCTGCGGTGTGACAGTGGCTTGAGCCGACACCGTCACGTCCCACAGCGCTGACACGATGCGGTGACGGTGGTGACGCGCTATTACCAAGATGCGGCCATTAGCGGAGGTCACCAGCAGTGCTGGTAATATATACCCGAACAATGAGAGGGCCAGAGCGTAGCTGCGGCCCAGGAGGGGCGAGGCGGACACCACGTCGGGGAGGCAGCAGCCAGGGGGCCGCGAAGTACTGTGCAGCCCCGGCAGTAAGAGCGGCAGTGTGCACAGCCCCGCCGACAACACCCACGACACTGCCACCGTCACCCCTACACGACCGAGTGACACAAAGCGGGCGTAGTGGAGAGGCGAGGCGATGGCCACATACTTGTCCACGTTGAGGGCGGTGAGTGTCCAGATGGCCGCCACGTGTAGTGTGAACCAGGCGCTGCCCACCGCCGAGCACCCGCCACTCCCCAGCCACTCCACCTGTAACACACTACACAGTTAGTAACTCACACTGTCGCAACACAAAATATTATACTGTAACACGTCCCTCTCCGTCACACCATCTGCAACACATAAATCCCATTAGTGACACATTATTTATACCTTCAACACAAAACACCTTTAGGCCCCAAGTGTTACCTGCACCGCCTACACACTGGGCCACCTAAACAAACACAGGCATCTGAAACACAAGAAAGACTCTTACTAGTATCACAAGTTCTGTTTTTGTCGTCACTTGATCATTACACCACGTAATTAATAACAGTATCCTCCAGCAGCCGACAGCAGCACTCGAGGAGCTAACCTAGAAACACACACACACACACACACACACACACACACACACACATCAGCTCCCAAACTCTTGGATGATGTTTGTGTTTTGTTTTAACTTTGCCAGACCCTCTCGGGTCAGTGTACAGGTGAGTCGTTAATGAGCACAGCTCACCTGAGAGTTCCGGGCGAGACAGGTGTGTGTTAGCGTAAGTGATTAACGGGGTCGTGCGTCACTTGGCTGTGTGTTAATGATTCGTGTGTTGTTATTAGGACGCGTCTGTCTGTCTGTCTGTTCCCACAATAACTCGAGAACTGTTCTTGGACGAGGTTTAATTATTGTATCTAGTTATATTATTTGTACCTCATAAAGCTTTCTTCCCTCCTTGTTTACATAATGCTTTCTGTTCTGTGTGTCTTATGCTTCAAGTGAGCATTGTGTCTCCCCTTAACACATGACTTAAGATAATGAACCTGGTGAGGGGGAGGCTAAAGGTAGGGAGGCTTTTATAGACCAAGTTGGTGCCCCTCCCCACCACATACACCCCCTCCCACAAATACCCCTCCCACCACACACAACCCTCCCCACCCTCACACCCCCTCCCTTCCCTCTCAAATGAGGGTTCCATTGTCCCAGGCGAGTATGGACGCCGGGCGACCTAGATCCCCCCATCTCCTCCCAGCTTCCTCCCCTGGACCCCCAGACTCCCTAGCCCCCATCTTCCCCTTCCTTGCCTTTGAGTAAATTTTTTCCTTAACTGCTTCTTTATTCCCTAGCAAAGGAGAGGGGGGGGGACCCTCAGGTTGAGCCTCTTTCCTCGTTATTCTCAATTCTTTGAAAACACACACACACACACACACACAGACACACACACACACACACTGAATATTCTTCCTCCCTCCTAGCTTATTTTACCTAATGATTTACCACTCTAATACTTACCTCTTACCAACCCATCCTAACCTAACTCCAACCCAACTCTGTGTTTGTTTCTCACGGTAAATTCGACTCCACAAGCAAGACTACCAGTTTGGGGACACATCTATGCAATCTATCCTTTTACAAGTCAATGTCGATTATATATCTCTTCCCTTTTACAAATAATTTACATAACAAAGCCTTTACTATTTCTTATAAGATGGAAAATTTTGTAAGTCATATGATACCAAATAATTTTATGCATTTTTTTTACTAGTTCTGGCACGTCGTAGTCACTAAACGAGGAATCGGACACAGGTTGCCGGCACACACGAACCCAGTCCAGCTGGTTAAGTAAACATGATCACTGTGTTGGTGTTCGTTTTGTTTGTTTACCAACTTTACGCCATGTTTAGGATATATCAGTGAAATATACGGCAACAAACATGAATTAATGTTTTGTTAAGGCAGTAAACATGTAATAGCGTAAGATTTAATGTGTGTTTAAGAGTTTATTCATTATGTTGAAGTTTTCTCTTAATCTGTATCGTGAAGTCTGATTGGTTGTTGTATCACGGATTCTAATTGGCTGTTGTATCAAGGATTCTGATTGGTTCTTATATCATGAGTTCTGATTGGCTGTTGTATCAAGGATTCTGATTGACTCTTGTATCACGAGGTGTAATTGGTTGTTGTATCGTCATCACTATCGTCATTATTATCAGTATTTTTTTAAGTGGATTATAAAGGAATTCTCAGTGGTGGTATAGCACATTATTGCCCTCCCTCCCCCTGTGATGAAACACGTCAAGACACGTCCCTAGAGTTGTTTACGACACCTGTTATCTCCTGACGGCGTGGTCGTATATGTCCCGAGATGCTGCCACTGGTATCTCCACTGTACACCAGGAGGAGGAGGAGGGGGAGGAAGGTAGGGGGCAGGAGGTAAAGAGGAGGAGGATGAAGAGAATGAAGAAGAAGAGGAGAAAGAATGAGACAGGAGGAAGAGGATAAAAAAAGAGAAAAAAGGGAAGAGGAAGAGAATGTTAAGTATTTTCTCTAACAAATAGGACAAAAACTATTATTATTTATTTATTTATTTGTTTTTGCTCCACTGTGTCCCTGTGTTGTGTCTCTTGTGTGTGGGGGGGGGCGGGGGGGGCGGGTGAGGGGCAGGAGTCAAGGCAGGTGGGCATTGTGTCTGGTGGGGGGAGGAGGGGGGGTCTTCCTTCCTCAGGTAATATGGTGGTGGTGATGGAGGCGTGGTGTAAACATTAACATATCACTCACTAATAAACACCCCACGACTCACTGTTAATGAATACAACACAATAATGAATAAATCTGCCGTAAGTTAACATTAAATAACCACTTTTATGAATCAGGTCACGAGAATGAATAAATTACTCGTGAATAAAGTTAGAGATATCAGTTGGTGTTGACTCCTAAACATCTGGTAAAGATAATTATCGTAAAATACTAAAATAAACAAACTTGGATGTGAAATGTGTGTGTTTGTGTGTGTGCGCGCAGAGATGTATACATGCCTGTGATATGGAGTAACCGTGCGTGCGACCATGTGTGTAATCGTGTCTAGCCTTGCGTGCGTCGTGTGCGTGTCGCCGTGTGTGTGTGTGTGGTAGTGCTAACAGCTGGGTTTTCCCCCTGACTACAGCACACTTATAAAACATTACGTCACTTTACAACCCTCACTACCTAACTTAAGTACAATTATAAGTAATGTAGGAATGTAGTGTAATAAAGACTCATCTACTTATATGATTACAATACCTCACTTTACTGTCTCTTAGTAGTGAAGATGGCCACTTACAATTGACCCAGACTCACACTTATAAATGATCAAAGGAAGGTAGATAGATTTACTGCGCACTTTGTCTTAATTACAGGTGTGTTATGTGTCATATTATAGAGGAATTTCTATCTGTTTAGTTTAGGTTATGGTGTGTGTTATGTTAAGCTGTGTTATGCTAAGCTGTATTATGGTGTGTTATGTTAAGCTGTGTTATGGTGTGTTATGTTAAGCTGTATTATGATGTGTTATGTTAAGCTGTGTTATGTTAAGCTGTATTATGATGTGTTATGTTAAGCTGTGTTATGGTGTGTTATGTTAAGCTGTGTTATGGTGTGTTATGTTAAGCTGTGTTAAGTTATGGTGTTATATTATGGTGTATTATATAAAGCTGTGTTATTTTACGCTATGTTATGTTAATCTGTTTTGTTATGCTGTGTTACGTAATGTTATGCTATGTTATGTTATCCTTGTTTATATTTCAGGTAGCTACGAGAGGTGGTCGACCCCATCAGCAGTAAACCGTACAGGTCAGAAGTGGCTCCAGCGCCCCTCCTACAGGCTGCTACTGGAGGAGGAGGGAGTTAGACTACTGAAGAAGTACACACCGTCATCCCGAGAAGTCCCAGCCGAGTCTTGGTATGTGTTTTTTTGGTCAGTTTTTTTACCTAATGGGATTTAGTTATTTTTCTGACTTTAACGAGAATGAAAAGAACGTAATGTGTGTGTTTGTTTGTTTGTTTGTTTCCATTTAATGTAATTCGTGTGTTTGTTTGTCTTCACTTAATGTAATTCGTGTGTTTGTTTTTCTCCGCTTAACGAGCATTGAGGAGGGAGCGTGTCTAGTTCAGTGGTAAGGTTGTCAAGTGTAATTGTCACGTCACTGTGTGGGTAATATCACGTCAAATCACTGAACGGTAATAACAAAAAATATCAATCACAGTAACAATAACAAGGATAATAACAAAAAGTAACAATCACACCAGTAATAAAAGATAACATTATAATCAATCAATTACATCTAGTAAGTTGTTTTGGGGGACAGGTGACAGGTGAGTATTCTGGTCTGGTTGGTAATTAAATTAGGTAGTAGCAACTCCCCCACTATCGTAATTATCATCAGGGTGGTTATTACTTGATGTTATCACCCTTAATGACATCACGGGTATGACGTCATAGCGGTAGTGACGTCAGCGTTAATCGATGGGAAACGTTTACATGACATATCTATTATGTCACCGCTGTATGACGTCACGTCTATATGTGGCACCAACGAATGACGTCATGTCCAAAAAAACTGGCTCCGCTGTATGACGTCACGTTCATAAGTGCCAATACCGCTTGACGTCACCCACACAGACAAGCGTTGTACAGCATTGTCAGGGAGCCAAGACAGTGCCAGGGGGCCAAGACAGTGCCAGGGAGCAAGAAGTTACCCTTCCTTAGACTCGTAAAGTGGTCGCCTTCACCACCTAATGACAGTTTAAGTGGCAGTCACTAAGATAAAACCCACTTATTGTGAGTAAGTGGTGGTAACGGCACGGAGTGATGCTGCTTGGCGGTGGTGGTGGTGGTGGGTGGTGTGTGGGGCGTAAATGGTGTGTGTGTGGGGAGAGGAGGTGGCGGTGGTGGTAGTGGCGGTGGTGGTGGTAGCGGCGGTGGTGGTCGAGACAGCTAAACCACCACCACCACCCACCACCACCACCACCACCCACCACCACCACCACCCACCACCACCACCACCCACCACCACTCACCACCACCACCACCACCACTCACCACCACCACCCACCACCACCACCACCCACCATCACACATAGATTCTGTTCATCTAATCTTGCCTTGGAAATTCTCAAATGATCGTAAGTTTGATTTTCCTCATAACCGGAGACGTAATAAGGCATGGTAACCGGCTGAGTTGTAACCGGACTTTGCATTCACTAGATAATTTACGTTAACTTACATTGTGTTATATTGTCTGTTTCAGTAAGATACACCTGTAATTAAGATAGGCTTAAATCGACAGGTGTTTAAGTCGGAATAGTGGGTTAGGTTAGGTTAGATTAGATTTGGTTGGGTTAAGTAGTATAGGTAGGGTTAGGTTAATTTTGGATGGGTCGGGTCAAGTCAGGTCAGGTAAGGTAGGTCAGGTACAGTAATTAATATAAACAAGGTAAGGTATTTTCAACGCCGAATCAATGTTGTAATGAGTACTTCAACGCCACGTGTTTCCTGAAGGTGATTCTAAATAAACCTCGATTCTCATACCTAGATATCCTGAGGGGGGGATGAAGGAGGTGGCGACGTGTGGCAACTGTGTTTAAAGGTCTCATCATCACCAGCCTTCAATATAGCAGGTGGAGTTACCGATCTGGTGGGCCGGGATGCTCTTCCCCTTCATTGTGTTATGTTAATACTTGAGGGACTGTGATTAGCTCTCTCTCTCTCTCTCTCTCTCTCTCTCTCTCTCTCTCTCTCTCAAGCGAGGTACCTCTAACCTAAACATACACACACAACTAACTATCCAACACACACACACACACACACACACACACACTATACCGTTTATCCGTTTTCCGTCAGCCGGTTATTACAAGATATCCGAAAAGTGAACTCTCATATCAGTATACAGGTTTGAGGCAGCCGTTGGTGTGGTGTCCGGGTTCTTAAGGGTGCACGGTGAGTCCTCCTCTGCGCCATAATCAAGTCTGAGGGGAGTGGGACATAGTCTTATAATGGCCCCAAAAGGTTGACTATTCCTCGCTGCGCCATAGTGAAATCCAAAGTTGCCAAAAGTCCTTCCAGTGGCACAAAGAAGCAATGAATTTCCCATCGTGACGTTATAAAAATCTAAAGGGTCATGCATCTTTTAATGGCACAAAGAAGTTATTATTTACCCATTTGCGCCACACACACACACACACACACCCACCCACACACACACACACACACACACACACACACACACACACACACCCAATCACATCTCTGTTATCATTAAAGGAGAAATATTAGTTAGTTTGGCTTCTGACGTCAACAAGATAACACGTTCGAGTCAACCTGAATAGTTATCGTTTTTTATCGTTTACTGAGGACGATATAGAATAGCTTTACGTTTTTATTTAGATTAATGTTAATGGTAAGTTAATGTTTATCTTGTTAGTATTCTGTTAAATTATGTCTGTGAATCAGTTTAGGTTCATTAGTTTAGTAGTTCCTTGTGTTGTGATTTACGAGGAATATTTATGATACGAGAATTGGACTTATGGGTGTATCTATATATATGAGAGAGAGAGAGAGGTCGACCACAACGAGTCTTTTGAGGTGATAGAGAGCGAGTTACTAAATTAGCGAAATCGCAATTGATCTCGTTCACTGGTATGATTCGGTAACTCAATTGGCTGAAGGAGACTACCGAGTTACCAGTCACTTTCTTGAGTTACCGGTGACTACCTTGATTTACTAATTAGTTACCAATGAGTTGCGATCACAAGGAACATCAACAGAGAGGATGAAAGCCCTCATCAGCCAGTCAGCGTGGGATTCACTTGACAACATCCATTTGCTGCAAGATTAGAGACTTAGCCATCATGAGCAATCACCAGCGCCAGACGAACCTACGCGTACCTCCTGGCAGCACTGGCGGTCGTGTTACCATGGGGGGAAAAGGGGGAGTTCGTTGTAGCGTGTGCGTGACGTAGAAGTTGTTAAGTTGTGTTAATGAAGCCTTTAGTTAGGTGACTAAGAAGAAGAAGACCGCCATTTTCTGAGTGAGGGGATAGTGACTCAGCTGTATAAATAGGGGAGGACAGGTGAGCAGTAATGGTGACTTACCTGTATGAGTGAGGGGAAGAAACCAATGAGGAAGAGAGCAGCAATTAGCAGGTTGATGACGCCCAGGTGTAACAGGAGGATGTGGGTGGTGGTGCGAGTCTGTCGGAGAGAACAACACACAGGTTAATTACACAGGTTAATTACTCTCCTCACCTGTGTAGCAACAAAAAATTAAGAGGTGTAGGTTTGTTTTATATATATATATATATATATATATATATATATATATATATATATATATATATATATATATATATATATATATATATATATATATATATATATATATATATATATATATATCACCTATTTAGCTAATTGTTAACATTAATTAATATAAATAGGTTAATTACATGTCACCTCTATACTTAACATAGGGTGGATGTTAATGACGCGTATCTCCTGTATAACAAATTTTAACATAAACGTAAGCGAATAGGTTCATTGCATTTATCACTTGTCTAACAAATTTTAACATCAATTATCGTAAGCAGTACAGGTTAATTAATATCACCTGTATATAACGAATTCAATTATATATACTGTATACCTATAAAAAAATAATCTTCAGCCCAGTATCCCCTCACAGCTGATCGAGAATGTAAACAAAGCCACGTGATGTTTGTCTCTGGGGAGCGTAAACATTGGCGTCACGTGGTAGCAGGAGGGTGTGAGCTGTACTATGTGACGTTAGTACTAAACACACCTAAGGCTGTTTGGGTTCCGTGTCACTGTAGGTAATCCTTCACATGTTCGGTTCTCTACATCAGGTGAGGGATGAGGTAAACACAAAAAAGACCTTTAAAAGACGCTGTAAACACTGGTAAACTGTTTGCATTTTTTACCCGAGTCGAATAAGATAAAGTTCCTTGTTTGATCCCTGGTTTTAGACTACTGTAAATATTAACTGAGGTAGGATGACGTTTGTGATGTTTCCGCTGATGAGTGGAGTCCAAGCCGGATAGGATAGTTTAGCCTCTGATGCCGGATATGTGTGTGGTATTTCCGGCTACCAGATGGGGTCTAAAATGTACAGTGTGTATTTTAGTCTCTGAAGCCGGATGTGTGTGATATTCCGGTTCGATCAATGGGTGGGGTCCAAGCCGGATAGCTTAACGTCGTTCAAGCCGGATGCGGAGATTCTGTACCTTAGTTGTGCCTCGTGATTGGTTGCTAAGTGAGTAAATCTATTTATTTTCACCTGTCATTAAACTGTCATATAATTAGTGTTTTTCACCTCTCACAGACACACACACACACACACACACACACACACACAGAGGTCAAAGGTCACACGTACAGGTGACCTTACCTCCCCAACAAACCAAGGCACCAACCCCCTTCTCCACTTCCCCATTTCCTCCTTCCCCCTCCCCTTACCACACTTACCCCTTATTTCTCTCCCTCCCCCTTAACCCTGCCCCCCCCCTTAACCCTGTCCCTCTCCCTAAACCCTCTCCTTCCCCCTCTCCCTCCCTCACTCTCCCTTCCCCCTCTCCACCTCCCTCACCTCTCTCCCTCTTGCCCCTCACACACAAACTACCAATTAAGTCTTTGCAATTGACGTCAAACTTAACTAATTGAGGGGTGATGATTATCTCTCGACCAATCAGGTGTCCGGATTATCCCTCCTCGTAGATGCACGTGCCAGCAATTAGTATTTTGTTTTGTTTTAATGTGTAGTGTCTTTTAAAGTTCTGGTACGATTTATTTGTTTGTTTATATTACGACTGACAAGACAGACCGACAGACAGACAGACAGAGACATACACCATTCTCTCTCTCTCTCTCTCTCTCTCTCTCTCCTAAACTACAAGGGGATTAAGGTGATAATTGCCTACACGTTGTTCCTATACATTAATAATTTAGATAGATTTTTGTTGTGGTTGTAAACTGTTGATTCATAGGACATTATTTTGGTGTTTGTTTTTGTTTGGTCGATTGTTTTTTTTTTGTTTGGTGTACGTCTGTTTGTGTCTTTGGTTGGTTGGTTAGTTTGCTTGATTTGTTTTTGTTTGTTGTACGCGTGTGTGTGTGTTTGGTTTGCTTGATTGCTTTACTAATGTTTGTTTGTTTGTTGTACGTGTGTGTGTGTGTTTGGTTTGCTTGATTGCTTTACTAATGTTTGTTTGTTTGATGTACGTGTGTGTGTGTGTGTGTGTGTTTGTTTTGCTTGATTTGTTTTTATTAGTGTACGAGTCTGTGTTTATTTGGTTTATTTTATACACAGACGGAGGTGAAAAGAGAAATAATTTTACCAACTCCTCCAGTGTTAGATACATATCATAATAGCTCCACCACATAGATACTATCTCTTTGACGTGTCTCTCAACCGCTAGTCTCTCGTGGCCGTCTCTTAACTTACGAGAAATCTTATGTTGATATGTATTTAGTTAGTCATTTGTTTTTCCCGCCATTTTTTTGTGTTTGTGGATCTCTCTCTCTCTCTCTCTCTCCACACTGAAACAAACTCCCTGTATAAACTCAGAACCCAAAACGTTACAATGGAATAAATATATATATATGATGTTTTTGTCTCCTAACTGGTGCTAAGTGAACGTAGGTAGGTAAGGTTTAAGAGTCTCAGTGAAGCTTTAGAGTCTCAGTGAAGCTTTAAAGTCTCAATGAAGCTTTAAATTGTCTTCAATGTTGCCATGAGTTTAGAAAGATGATGTTTTAGTGACAGTGTGGTGCTGTAGACTGTGAGACGCCAACCTCTGTAACACAAATCATGGCAGACTAGAGGCTTGGGGGTGGGTACTGTTGATGATGGTGGTTGGGGGTATATGAAGTGTGTGTGTAATGGTCAGCTTGTTCGCCTCGCAAGTCAGTGGACCCAGGTTCGAATCCCCGGGGAGGGTGAAACTATGGGCAAGTTTCTTTAAGCCATTTGCCTCTGTCTACCCACCAGTAATTGGGAACCTGGATGTTAATCGATTTGGGGATCGTGTTCCGGGGTAATGGTTAGCCAGTGCAGTTGGCGAGTTGTTCGGTCTTCTCGGACTATTCCTTGACATTGAGTCATGCAACTCGTTAACTCAGGGTGTGGTTGTTGTGTTGGCGACACAGCTTCTACACCTTAAACAAATTCAATCCTAGGTGGTCCTTGGGCCGGCCATCCTCACTAAGCGAGGGGCAACCATTATTATTATTATTATTATTATTATTATTATTATTATTATTATTATTATTTTTGCATTTGTGTATGTGAGTGAAAGTGAGAGTAAATAAATATTACTCCTTACCAGACAGTGTTGTAGGTGTGTGAGGTAGAGTGGGAGTTATAGATGTTAATTAACACGTCATTAACATATAAAGTGAGGTTAATGAAGGATATATCTTAATATGTTAGTGTGGGGAGAAACTTTTGACTGTGTTGATGATGATACAAGGGTGTGGGTGGGTGGGTGTGGGGTCGGTAGGGGTGGGTGGGCGTGACTGTATGTCTGAGGGTACGTGTGAGGGTGGGTGTAGGTTGGTGTGGGTGTAGTTTGAGGTGGGTGTGTACAGTAGGTTGGGGTAAGTGGGTGAGGGGATGTAGGTTAGGATGGGTGGTGGGTGAGTGAGTGAGTGAGTGTTGAGGATATATGTGTGTATGAAGAGTTAAATTATACATGCTAGGTTCCTATTTTACATTATTCATTTTGTAGCTCTTTAGTGTATAAGATAAATAAATTATACATGCAAATGAAGGTATTAGTGCCATAATCTTCCTAAAGTACTCGTGTGAATGGGTCTTAATGGCGTTACTCTCATTCAGGACGTATTCATCTGGTTTGGGAAGTCTGCTACAGGTGTTTGTCTGTCTATCTGTCTGTAGAGAAAGTAATTAATGAAGGACACACACACACACACACACACACACACACACACACACACACACACACGGTAAATGAAAACAAAATACTGTTGTGTACACGAGACAAATTAGTATATAACAATAATTGTAATTGTCAAAATAATAATTGGTAATGAAAACAATAATTTATAGTCATAATTGATACGTATAATTAATTTACTACATTAGATTATACACAAAAGCTGTTTCAATAATCAGATTAAACAATAATTACTTAATAACTTCTCTATAATTGTTAATGAGTAATTTTAACATTATTAGACACGACTATAGTGTTAATGAGGGTAATTATGACTTATAAATTATAGGGGTTGAGTAATAGCAATAATGAGTTAAGGTCAGGTTATTATACACCTTGTTTGTGGAGGAGGAAAGGGGCCTAATTATACATGGTAATTAGGGGCGGTGGTGAGGGGAGTGGGGGGGTCAAAGGTCATGTTTAGTCTGAGGTTTGAGTGTGGTGATTTAAACCCCTTTGATTGTGGTGATTTAACCTCTTGATTGTGGTGATTTAAACCCCTTGATTATGGTGATTTAACCTCTTGATTGTTCCTGTAACACTCAAGGGAATTCATACACAAGGGGTTAAATCATCCTACAGGGGGGTTAAATCATCCTACACAAGGGTTAAATCAGGGGTTAAATCATCCTACACAAGGGGTTAAATCCTCAAGGGGTTAAATCATCCTACACAAGGGGTTAAATCATCCTACACAAGGGGTTAAATCACCCTACACAAGGGGTTAAATCATCCTACACAAGGGGTTAAATCATCCTACACAAGGGGTTAAATCACCCTACACAAGGGGTTAAATCATCCTACACAAGGGGTTAAATCATACTCGCTCAACATATAACATTAAATTGACCTGGATAAAGAACGGCATTAATTCCTTATTAAAAATACACGTCGAGTTTTTATTTTTTTTCCCGGGTTTGTGAAAAAGATTTATTTCATTTAGGTGAATAAAATGAAAAATTAATTTGTATAATATGTTTAACCTGACTCTGATTCTAGAATATACATGATTTATTGGTATGCTCTTATCTGGGTATATTTGGTGGTATACATACATACATGCGTATATAAATACATACATACATACATACGTACATACATACATACATTCATACATACATACATGAACACACGTAAATAGTCGTAAATTTACTCATAAAGATGTGCACTTTTACACACACACACACACACACACACACACTCATCCCTCATACCAAGAGT